TATCACGTTAAAATAAAATATGAAAAATGAGAATATTTCAAAAACGAATTATTATTTCGTAGTACAATAAACCTACGTTAAATATTCTAGTATGTGGTCGCCTTAACAACGAAATAGTATATGTATAATTGGCCAGCCCAGTTTTGTCCAAAATAAATAGATAAATTTACACAAATAAGCATAATTAAATTCAGTTTAAATATCTTTAAATATCAGGAGTTATAATTAACCGTTAACGGCGTTAACCCATAACTTTGATCAAAAAATCTAATAATGATAGGTACATTTCAAAATTTCGTATAATACCTCTCTAATAGTAGGTAATGTTTATTATATGATTATTAAAACCTGGCTAAAGTCAGCATGTAGCTTTTTATGTGAATTTTATCTCCAATAGTAAATGGCTATTTATTTATTAATATAAACGGCTGTATGCTAGATCAAATACAATACATAACAACTAAGTAAAAAAATATATGATAATGTAAAAATACGAGTACCTAAGTACTTCGTATATTCTAAACATATTCTATAAACATTAAGTAAATATTATTTCAACTATTGTCGATGTCGATACTATAAAAATTAATAAGAAAAAAATAAGAATAGGTGTATAATATGTATTAAACAATACAAGTAGGTAATTTAAAAAACCTTAGTTGAATATTACAATATTAAGAATAAACAGACAATTTTATAATTAATGATGTATATATAATATATAAAAGAGATATTTATAAATAAATAATATACATAAACAAAAAATACCAATAGGTATAAATAAATAAATAAATAGGTACCTAAATAAAAATAACCTTTTTAATGATGTTAAAAGAAGATAGGTATGTATTTTTTTGTCATTCAAAGGGTGATTGATAGAAATCTATTTTAAAATGTCACAAATTATGATCATTTCAAACAATAAGCAGGGGGAAGTGGGTGAAATAGTCACAAACCTATATAACTGGTAAAATGTTTTCTGCTGGTACGATAATGACAAGTATTAATGGTTACATAACAGTTGAATTTTGAAAACCACCCTGATATGGCCATGCATAAAACATAACATTTTCACCTTTGTATAAATTATTAGACGGCTTCGCAATAGTTTAATCATTATCCGATTTTGAAAACGCCCAAAAAATAGTACTTTTTAAAAGCGGAATTTGTATTTTTATTGTAGGTTCCTTAATTCTTATTGTCGTAACTAGTAATAAATCTAAGTTCTAACGATGAGTTTTGAATCTTGATAACATCCTATTTATATTGAAGTTAATTATTGTATTATAATAAAATATTTAATATATACTCTAATACCTCTTTTTTAGACTTCATTAAAAATCATTGTAAGATAAAATAGAAATATTAATAATACTCGTATACCTGTGATTTAATGTAATGAGTAACTGTAATGTATGAAGCAAAAAAATACATTACTGCAGAATTTTATTTCGTCGATAATAATTAATAAGTATATCCACTAATTTAACTAGCTGCAATTCTATTCACGGAACAGAGGATTATGGCTTAACTTATAAACGTATAGATTGGCGATCTCTACTGTAATCACTCAAATCACCTTTTCTCAGCATCAGTCGTATGCGCGAAATAACATCCTTTTCTTTTTCGGCAAACAAGGTATAGGTTTGGTGTTATACATATCTGATATTATTTACTTAGTCAATTACGAGAATATCTAAAGACAACGAAAATAAATGAGATGGCTAAGATTATATCTATAAAAATACCAAAATTATACCAAAATATACAAAAAATCATCACATTAATTCTTTTTTTTTTTTTTTTAGATACTATTTACTTTTACTATAAAGTATTTTTATTAAGTGTAATTTAAATCTAAGAATAATTTATTGCTTATTTAGACTAATTTGTATTTAAGTTCAAGCTTGCATGTTTTTAAGACAACATTTAAATAAACTGAGGTATTTGCAGTTTTGCTGTAGAGTAGATGTCATATGTATCTACCATGCCATCAAGTTGGTAGGTAACTGTAACGGATAAATCATTAAATATTATGATGAAAAATGATTCTGAATAAAGACGACCATCTGACAGTAAATATTTTATTTTTTTTTTAACTAGGTGTTATAAACTTATATATTATAACTTTGTAAGTCAAAAATACAAATATATAAAAATATATAAATAAATATAATACTTACAATGTGTAAATATAAATTTTAATTAAAAATACTTAAATAGGTAGTACTTACTCAATATCTATTTGGAAGTTAATCACCACCACATTTTAGCTTTGACACAATTTTGTATTTTTGTCACAATAAAGCAGTATCTACACAAGCCTATTGAGTATTGACAACTATCTTTTGTATAAATTAATTTAAAGCAAGAATGTGATATTTACATATTAATAGTTATTCTAAGAATGGTAACAAACTAAAGGAATATACAAGCTGTAGCCGTAGGTACATACATATTTTTATGAAAATAATGAAAAAAAAAATGTTAGTATACTAAATATTATATAATATTGTTATGTGTCTTATTAAAGAATATAAATAATCAATTTGAACTGTTCTTTTAAATTTCTTAGAATTAGTGCATAAAAATTAGCTTTGGTAAAATGAAAATCACTAACCAAACCAGTTGTTGATTTAATGCTGATTATTTTCCAGGAAGAACTGAAAAATGTATCATTTATTACTACGTCACCTGCGTTAAGATATTTATAATAATATAAGTTATTCGAATTTATTTGTATTAGAGACTTTGATAATAGGTATTAGCCAATACGTGTATTTAAATAATAGTTATGAATGTTATGATTATTATAAAAATTTTTTTTTATTGAAGTGTAATAAGAATTTGCAATAGAATACATTTGTCTTGAGACAACTATCGGTGAACTTACTAATATCTAAAATTGAGTATATTTTTTAAAATCATAGACGGAAACAGTGTGTTAGTGTGGGAACTGGGAGGGATTCTAGTTTGATATAACCCAATTTGAGCTCTTTTTGTTTTCTACGCTATTTTAACTCATATAACAATGGGAATTATTTTTCATGCTTTTTGGAAACTATGCAATAATAACAAAATAATAATTATTATTATAATTAATAATCAATAACCATGATTCATTATAATTCGTTTAGGTAGCTTACCTCGTTATGTATTCACACTACATCAATTACAAATACATCATAACATTTATAACCACTTTATTATTAGATATTGGCGTATTTTTAATAATTAAATTAAATAATTCGTTTGAATTGTATGATAAATGATAATACCTACTATGTTTGTATTATGTTCCATTAATCCAATATATAAATAACTATTAGATGAATAATTTAGTAAAATATATACTTAAATTTAGTTAATGATTGTTCACTTTTTAGAATTACCTAACTTATTGGGTATAACTGTCAAGTGTCAAGAATATAAAAATAAATTGTGTATAACACATGAAAAAAAAAATGGAAAGAAAACAAGTGTACCCCAGTCAAGTTAGTTTAATTATTTTTAATAAAATGCATTATTTTTTTTTTTTTTTTTTATTGGATTTAAAATAAAATTAGTTTTTTTGTGAGATTGTCTCTCATAGGGGGGGGGGGGGACAAGGAATGGTCTACGCACTCACCTGAATTGAGCATGTGAGATTTTTTTTCTTTAGAACTTGAAAAAAAGGTTATAAAAATTAATTTCACACTTTAGAAAAACTGAAATAGTGAATTAAAAAACAAATCAAGATCTTACACATTGGCAAATACCGATAATTTATCAAAAACTTTATGGGATCACATGTCAGTAACTATGAAAAGATTATTCAAAATAGGATCACCTACTGATTTTAATAAAATAAACCATTTTTCTCTAAGTTATATTGTGCTTTATTTATAAATTCTCAAAACTTGTCAGTCAGCTCAAATTATCAGGCTTGAAGTTATACTTGAAGCTTTGAAGAGCTGCATAAAATTTGGGCCAGCTAAGTAACGTATGACTGAAGATATTTAAATACCTGGAATTCTTAACTCTAAAATGCTTGCCAATTATCAAAATGGCCCAATAATTTTTTTAGGATCAATTAAAATCATTAAATTGAATGGGTCGATAACTTTTCTATCGTATGCTGTGTTTTATGACAGGTGTATAATAAGCTACTAAAGTTAAATTCTTTTGTACAAAATTATTAAGTTTTTGAAAAAATACTTTGTTGAGCCTGAAATGATAAACATTATAATATGTTTTATTGAGTAGTTAAACAATATATATATAAATTATATAATAAATTAATATTAATATATACATTAAAAAGTGAATTTATAAAATAAATTAATTAATACTAATACTAAGTAGTTTGACAGTAAGTATTGAAAATTGTTGACTAATGATTACCTAAATGGTAATACATTAAATCATTGAGTGTTCAATGCATTTTAGAGATATTCATGTTCTTTAACTATTATATTTTGTAAGAGAAAAAGAAAAATGTAAATATTTGTAGCTTGCCAGTATGAAAAAATAAGAACACCACTGGTAGAAAAAACTTTTTTACAAGAGAGACAAACCAATTAAAATATTTAAAATAAGGTTGAAAACATAGTAAATTAAATTATATTATTTTATGTAATACATATTTAGATGGAGGATAAGTAGTTTTAAAAACAAATATGAAATAAAACATGATCAAAAATTCTGTTATTAAAATATATTAAATCTGAAATCCACGTCAATTAATTAAATAATTCAAAATGTGTCATTTAAGTTATTTTGACGTAACCAATAATTGGATTGACAACTATATATTTAATTTATTTGATTTACAATTTAATATATAGATGTATCTATGTAATGTTTATAATTACATTATATTTTACAAATATTTTTTCCCTTGAAATATAATGTTTATAATTTATGTTAATAGCAATGTGGTTTGAGATAACTTTTTAATTTAATTTACTATTCAACTTAAAAAAAATAATAGTATATTATATATTTATTAGTGTGTATAATTGAAAGGTAATCATATTTATTTATAATAAACAAATGTACATTTTACAGGATCTGGATCTAATTAATGATTTTGTTAAAGTGAGTACATTTAATTGCAATAAACATAAGATCACAGTTTTCACTAAATGAGAATATATTATAGTGAAAAGATAAAATAATGGATGTTCAAGGCTTCAAACTTTGTCATCTAAACAAAAAAAAAAAAAAAGAATTAAACCATAATTAAATTAAAAATCTTCATTTTTATAATAAACTACAATAGTGCATAGTTTATTAAATATGGAATTTCATTTGCTTACCATGATACCACCATTTTGTTTTTTTAGGATTTTTGTTGCAAGTTTTTACATAAAAACTATTGTCTGGCGGTCTTTTCTGTAAATTATAATAAAAATTATAGTAATTATACTATTATTTACATATATTTTTTTTTTGCGAAATCACCTTTTCTTTGCAGCTGCTTAGCATAGAAATAATTGAAAGACAGACAGATTGAACTGATAAAGCTGGTGACCAGTCATCAGTAAGAATAGATAAACAAATATGCCCATTACTATACACATGTGGATGAACTGGAATGTTTTGGCCCACAAATGTAACCTAAGAAAAATGAAAATAAATTTAAATCAATATATTATTAAAATGAAATAAATATTTTTTACTTCAGGTGACTCAAAAGGATAACTGGTACCAAATTTGAACTGCAACTGAAACTGTTCACCATCATATAAAGTACCTTCTGCGCCTTGCATGTTTATAGTCCAACTACAAAATAAGATTTAAGATTTAAACATCATATAAAAAAAAAAAATTGTTGATACACTATATACTAATAAAGATATATAAACATTTGGTTTATAAAAATTAATTAATTTTAAAACAAATAATCATATTAAGTTACTAAAAAAAAATAAGTAAGTACTTAAATGATAGTTGGATAGATTATTAGAAAATGTTATTTTACATTTTTGGAATGATTACATTTTTTATTTATTTTTTTACCTAATATATAATTGTATAAAATTATTTTCATTTATAGGAATTTGTTTGACTGACACTAATGTGTACAATGATATAACCTTTTAAAGTCTAAAATATCAGATTATATTAGTTAAATGAAAAATAGTTATGGAAGCTGACAACATAGTAAATTTGTATTGACCAATTGTTGAATCAATTATTTGTTAGCTTTAATATCAAAATGAATTAGCCACTTTAAGATAAGAACAATATGTTTATACATGACTTTCTATAATGAATTTTCAATTTTTAACAGTCATAAGCAGTTTTAAATTGCATATTTTATATTCATAATTTGCCTTAAAATGTAAATATTGTTAAAAAAAAGAGAATAAACTAACTAAATCAATTCAATCTATTCTTAGATTTTTTGTAATAAATATTTGTAAGATGTAACTGTATATAATTTTTAAAGAACTATTTATTTTAAGTCAATTAACTTTGTAATTATTAAAAATAATTGCTACATATGAAGCCACCTTAAAGTTAGACTACCAGTGCAGTGATTGGCATCAGCCACTAACGTATTCTAAGGTCAAGCATTGGCCGGCGTCGCTAACTACCAGGTGGGTGACCACCCGGTTTTTTAGCAACGAATCTATGGCATAGACACACATACAAGTGTTTTATAATCCAAAAAAAAAAATTTTAAAATCAATTGTACCTTCACATAGTTAAAGCTAATGGTCTTAAGTGCTGGGCTCAAGAACAATAAAAAAAAAAAAAAAAAATGATTTTGCTGAAGGTAAATTTCCTATGTTATATGTAATATAATCAAAGGATATATATAAAATAAAAATATTGTAATTATATTACATGTATATCATCAAATAAGAATTGTTTAAACTTTAAATCAACACATGAATAAATTAATTTTGTACTAACATATTGAGGTTCTGTTCGGCTTGATCAGCATCTACAACCATTCCTGGAGGAGGTTCTTTAACAAGCGATATCAATTCTTTATGGAGTCTTTTCTATGTAAAAATGAAAAATGATTGACATTTTTTATTATAATAAAGGTGTGATTGTAACAATGTATATTAAGCAGGTACATACTTCGGATGGCGTTTTGCCGGCCATTTCACGATAATCACCGATAATAAAATAAATAATTTATTTTATTATTAAAACCGTGTAGTATTCATATTGTGATCAGTAATTAATTGTTGTGTTGTATCAATGAGAACATAGTGTACTCGTTGGACATTAAGTTAAGACGATGAAACATAAAGTCAATGCTTGAAAACACGAACTATACGCGGTTGGCTGAAATTGGTCGTAAAATTAATAATTATCAATTAATTATGACAAAACCAATAGTGTATCACTATAATTTTTATTTAGTTGAGTATTTGAAAAAATGAGTCTATTAACTATTTAGTATTTGCTCAGGAAAACAACAAAAGGTTTCTTATCATTAACAGATTGGTACAGGATGACACGCCAGCTGACTGTTTTCACAATGGAAGAATAAAACAGTCTTGAATTATATACCTATAAACGTACAAATACTACAAACAGTACAAACTGTAATATTGTAATAAGTAATAACTATTTTTTTTTTTTATAAGTAATAACCGTATGCCTGTACTCTGTGATAACTGTCCCAAACTTCCAAATAAATTTGAAGTTAATTATTATCACAATTATTAATTATTATAAATAATAATTAAAAAACCAATAGACCTGATGCAAACGCAACGTTGGACTAAGATTACAAAATGCGATTGTCATAAACTAAAAAACATACGAACTTCGAAGAACAAGATACTAAGTTGTGGTTGTAATATTATTAAGTAACATATTCTTATGACAATCAAGCGGCTGTGGCCATAGCTGCAATTGAAAGAAACGGTTTTATTGTTTAAATGCTAGAATAATTTTAGATTTCTAATTTCTATACTTAGTATAGAAGCACAAAACAGATGAAATTAAATGAAATTCTATTTTGAGATAGAAGTCTGTGTTTACATATGCTTATGTATTATGTAATTAGATCTATTTTTGTCATTTAGGTTTTATGAATATTATTGGGTGTAGTGAAAACATAACATATTTTCATTTTAAGGTGAGTTATAGGCCATTACAGCTATGTATAATATTACAACTTAAATACACACACAAAGAATTTAAATATTAAATTGTATGATTTAATGCAGAAAAGTATTGTGTAGGTATCTTTTTTTTTTTTATTCAAGATTTGTCTTCGACATCAAAATTCTAAAGAAAAGCCCATTTCATCAATTTTTCCAATAAGTATATAATATCATCGCACGCGATGAGGTTTGTTAGAAAAAATTTATATTTATTTTGAATACTTATATATTTGTAAATAAGTATTTAAAATTTATTTTAAAATTTAGGATAAATTAGTTCCTACTTCTTAACTACGATTTTGCAAAAGCATAACTATTTTAATAAGAAAAAAGATTCGTTGTGTTAAAACTTAAAATGTATAAAAATATTAAGTGCTTAGCGACAGTGTATAGAGGTTAATATTGTTTTAATTGACTAGTCTATAGTATGTTTATACATTATTAAAAATAAAAAATGAAATTAAGCTAGCCAATGACTTAATACTTTCTTCCGAAGTAATAATTGAAGAAATTAATTTGATTGACATGGCATGTTCAATTACTAAACTATTAAGAGGGCGTCACAGTAGAAAACAATCGACCGTAAAACATGCTTTCGTACTTCCAATAGTTCTCAGGCCTCGTTGATCGTAAAAACATGATTTTGGTATCAAAATAATCACGAGAAGTTGTACTAAATATTCTTGGAACAGAATTTTAAAATATTTTTTCTAACCAATTTTATTTGTGTTTGAAGTTTGTAAAATTTTCATTTTTTTAAAAAATTATATAAAATCAGCAAATTTAAATATCAAAAATCTGTTCTAAGAATATTTAGTACAACTTCTCGTGATTATTTTGATACCAAAATCATGTTTCTACGATCAACGAGGCCTGAGTACTATTGGTTTTGTGATGTTTACAAAAAATTGTGGTATAAAATATTTAGCAATATTAAAGGCCATTTGGGCGTTAGATATGATCTTATGGTCTATAATCGGTGCTATTCATCAGACTTCAAAAAAATGCCTTGTTCATTATATGTTGAGTAGTTAGGTAACTTGAAAGTCTTTAGTCTTAAATCGTGCCAATCGTGGTCAAACTACTCAAACTTTTATTTTATTATCTATGCATAAATTATATGCTACCAAAAGACGAATAATTTTCTTGGTATATGATAAGAAGTGTGATAAAAAAATGAAAATGTTATCTTTATCGTGTATGATATCTATATATTATATAAAGATAGTGCCTTCAGTGCCTTGAACTCATAAATTTAAGAAGTAAAGACTAAGGATCACACCAAGGATAGAAGCCACTATCTTAGGTAGTAGGTACTAATTATTCACTATTACTCTCGTACTTGAGCTCTTTTTTAATAAAACATTATTAATATATTTGTATGCCATAAAACAATTTACAATTAATATTTTCGATTTTATTATAGGTATTGGAATAATTGTTGTCTTTTGTTTAGTACAATTTTGTTAGTAACTCGTCATGGCTTTGCGAATACTTTTCAAAAACACTACACTAAGAAATAGAATGTCTTTGCAATTAAATGTAAGTCAATTTTAAATATTTCATGATACAATACCCAATTAACAATTGTGTATAAAGTAATGGGTAAGATGTTTGTAATTTTCTATAGGAAATTGATTTTTTTGATTTTTTATATTAATCAAGAAAGTTTCATGACAAATTTTTACCATCTTCAAGTAACCTTAAACCATTAAATTTTCATTGGATATCAATTATCTGTCAATCTTCATTTTTAGTTATATACTTTTTAATCTAGATATTTAAATTTAATTTTATAGCGTTAATTAATAAACACAAAGTAATTAATTGAAAGTCTAATTTTATTAATGGTAATTTTATTGTATTAATTGTATTTACCTACAAAACTATGAATTTTATTAATAATTTTTTGAACTTATTATTTATGTATAGAACTTAATATGCAAACGTGATTCATCATATCGTTCAAGCCCAATAGCTAAAGACCCATCATATTATGCCAAGTATGAAGTATCATCTTCTCCAGAAGAATGGAAATTTGTTGAGAGACTACTTCCGTCAACTTTCATACCAGCACCATCTGACAGAAAAGATTTGCCATCAGGATGGCAGCCACAAACAGGTATACAACATCAAAATAATGTGTTGACTTCATTATAATATTTAATGTGTATATATGTATTCATATTGTAATTATTATAACAGTTAACAGGTTACATTTATCATCTTAAAAATTATAAAAAAATGTATATTATTTTACACAATTAACAAAATTAAAGTTAAAAAATTAACATTTTAGTAAAAAAATATTCTTAAATATTTTTATTGAAAACAATTTTAATTTTAAATTTCCAAGTAGAATATTTTTCTAAATCAAATTTTTGACCAGCAGTTAATCAGTTATAACTTAGAATTTCTGAATTTGAAGTTTTGATGTATTCAGTTGTTAATAAACATAGATTTGGTAAGCAATTCCACTTTGCTTTTCTAACTTTAAAATTTTCCACTGTAAAATTGTCTTTACTCCTTAATTTATGAAATTTACCAAATCATACTACTATTAATTTTACTCAAAATCAAGCCGCCATCTAAAGTCATATGTCCATATGTTATTTGAAGATCTTCCAACATAACCCCTGAATTCTGATTACCACCAGTCAGTTCTTATCTCGAGTACACCAATTTAATTAGTCAGGTGCCACTACTGAGTGCCTTTTCAATTCAATCATTTACTAATATTGTTTGTTCTCACTTTGTATAGATTCTAATTATTAAGTTTTACCATTAATAACTAATTACTTAACCTTTTCTAAGTTTTCAAAAAAATTAATTTTTGAAATTATATCCATTTAAAAATGTAATGTATTATATATTTTTTTAATGTTTTTAAATTACCAAATTATTTAAAAACTTAATAGATGATATTTTTTAAACATCATAATTCTCTAATCATACTAAATCATTGTTCAAAGTAATTTGAATATAATCATACAATTTATATATTTTAATTATTATTCATGGTTTTATAGCAACATTTGGAAAATATCCTTACTTCGTCCATCGTACACGCAATCATATGTTACCTGTATATCTTAAAATTTCCATGAGAGGAACAAGACGTATAACTCAAATAAATAATGTAGATGGCAACATATGGGCGTTAGAAGAAGCCTTGAAGAAATATTTAACTAGAGTGTATGGAGATAAAAAAATAATAGCTACTAAAGTACATGAAGTATGTGGTCATTTATGTATTCATGGGGATCATGTATCAAAAGTTAATGAATGGTTACTCAAGAAAGGTTTGTAAAGAAAATAACAGAACACATAAAAAAAAAAAAAATGTAATATAAAAATTAATTTACAATACGATTTATGTAAAAATAAACTAAAATTGCACTTTGACTTAACACATTGTTAAATTATTTATAACTATACATTAAAATTTTTAAAAATTCAGATAACATAATACAAGAAACATAAATATAGGAAGTAGAAAATAGTTACTGTTAATACTGAATTACAATATGAGCGAACAAAATTAATAGCAAGAGAATATTTTATAACAGTGACGGGTGTGTAACAGTTCTATTAAAACTGATCATTTGGGCAGTAGTTTAATGAGGTAGTGTAACATATATTTATGAAATTAATAATTATAAAAACATAAATTAAAATAATATAAGTAAATATTTAAACTATTATAAATGGCAATGATATAACATTTTTATTATACTTTGTCCAGCGAGAGAATGCACGGTGAACTGAAAAAAATCTGTTGTACATATCCATATGAAACACCCTGTTATTGTGAAACCAGTCTCAACAGCAAGGTGTTAAGCATGTTATCGGCATGTTCTCTTACTGGACAGATAATAAATTTTGTAGTTTATACCAAAATTGTATTGAAAATTAACTATGATTTTAGAATATGTTGATGAGATATTTATTATTGATGTTAGTTGAAATTAATTAAACACACACATCACAAATATTTAAGGGTACACTAAAAATTAAATTCTATAATTGTATATATATATATATAAATCCTTAATCTAAATCACATAAGTACCCTGTATAACTAAAAACAATGTAAAAATAAAAAATAAAAAAATAGTTAACAAACAAATAAGAGCAATTATTAAAATATCAATACTGATAATTGTACTCAAAATATGCAATTATACATTTGTATAAAATGTTGACTGTGTAATAAAAGTATACACAAAATAATTGTTCACATAAATAAAACTGAGTTGTTATAATTTTAAAAGTATCTAATCAATGAGCAATTTATTGGCAGGACTTTGCATTCAGTCTTGTAGATTTCTATCTTATCTATGTGTTTATAAAACCGCCTTTCAGTCTGTCAGATGAACAAAGTTCTTTTTATTAAAAACAACATTGTATTCAGCAATGGTTCCTTTTACTTCAAACATAGTTTTCATCTTTTGTGTCTTTAGAATGCCATGTCCTTTGAGTATCTGTAGGCAAGGGCATAGCTCGTCTGGGTAATGGATTAATTTCATTTTCAGAACAATTATTATTATGATTTGCCAAATAAGAGATTTCTATAGCATTCTAAAAGTAAATACATTTTATCATTTTTAATTCAATAATTTATTAAAAATACAAATTTTAAATCAATAAAATAAAACTTACTTTAGCATCAGGAGCAAGTGGATTACTAGTAATGTTAATTGGATGTATCACATATCCGTTGGGTGGATGAGTGTGTCCGTGTGTATTGTCAGAGGCCATTGGTAAAGTGCATCCATTAACCATTTTCCCATTTTTTAGGGCAAACCCATTCATTGATAATGGTTCTAGTCCTGATACTGCTTCAGAACTCTTATTAAGCTCTAGAGATTAAACAGAAAATAGTTAAAGCATTGTGATAGCAGTACAGTACATAGAGGTATACACAAAAAAACAATAATTTACCTGGCGAATTTGAGTGTGACGACATTCGCTTGCTATACATGCACACAGTAAAAAATATAAGTAGTAAAATAGCTCCAATTACAGCAACAGCTGCACCAAACAAAACGTAGAGTGACTTCACACCACCAATTGTCGAATATACATTATTATTATTTGCAACATTATCTGGTATGTTGTCAGTCCATTTTGGAGTATCTGTACTTGTTTTAGGTTCTCCTAAAATTTTTTTAATATTAAATAATATTAACATAATATAATACTAATAAACAATAATAAAAGTTTATATATATGTATAGTGGTGGTTCGTGTTTAGGTTGTATGCAAGTGTGCGCACACCACATAAATTAACACAGATAAAATAGTAAAAATGGATTTTAAATTCCTTATACAATTTAAGTTTAACTATAATAATAATTTATCGTATAATATTGTATTAATTAAAAAAAAAATTTATATTTGCTTATATACCCAAAAATATTACTCCTACAATTTATTGAAGTTATGTAATAAATACACATCATTTGGTATACAGCTCAGTCAGAACACCGTTTGTCTGTGTAAATTTGTTTGGCCATTGAGTAGAGGGTTGACAAAAATTAATGGGATTGTGGTGTGCAGCGATTGCTGCACACGCGGTAGCCTCAGCATTCCATATGGGTTATTATTTTATAGGAAACGACTTGAATTCATATATAAAAATGTTTAATTTTTTTTTTTTGTTAATTAATTCAAATTATATATATATTATAAGGCAGTGGTTCTCAATTTTTTTAGTACCACAACTCAAATTTCCCCCAAAAAATCTTTTACGACCCATATGGGCCACATGGTGTCACTTTTCAAAAAGCAATTAAATAAAATAAAAAAATTGTAAGTTTTAAATTTTTTTAACAAAATTTGTTTATTAGGTACTTTTAATAGGTATAAATTATTATTTTTATTATTGTATAGGTTTATAATCAATATATTTTTACAAATGTACTTTTAATAATAACAATATTATACCATAATAATATATTTAATATTAATTTAACATACATTTCTTGGAAACTGTATAATTCAAAAAATTGTAAAAATTGACTGATAACCCACCAGTGAGTCGCGACCCACAGTTTGAGAAAAGCTGTTATAAGGTATTATATTTATAGGTATATAAATTATTTTTTAAAACTTTGTATAAATATTTCAATAATATTGTACTATAATATTTTAGATAAAGACTTAATTTTTTTTTCTAATAAACTTTTGCAAGAATTGCACACCACCCATTTCGAATACCACGAGCTGCCACTGTATATGTATAACATTTGTAAATATTTAAATTACTTATTTTGATTTAGGATACATACCAAATGTTTTGTGTGTGAGTATGGTGCTAAAATTAGAAGCTTCATGTACAGTAAAACTTTGTAATTTCAAATCATACGAAGTATCTGGCATTAAGTGTGTAACAACAAATACACGGGTATCTTGGCCATCTACAATGGCTTTTGTGTAATCGCCCGCAGTACTAGTAGCTCGATAATAAACATAGAACCCTTGAACTGGAGCTAGTACAGAATTCAGGTACTAAAAATTAAGTCATAAGTGTTTAATAGGAATGCTTGAGATAAAAATTGTTAAAATATATTATACTACATACCTCCCATTCTAATAATATAGAAGTACTATCAACAGCTTTGGCTGATACTAAAGTTGGAGGTATTAAAGATCTGTTAGGTGGTCCTCTACTTAAAAAGAAATGTTTTGAAGTAGGACCAGATTTATTGTCATCATTTGAATACACTGCAGCTACTCTGAACCTGAAGATAATGAAGATTTATTTTATTAAAAATAGTCCATTAGTAGTAAATTATATTTTTTAATAATATTAAACTCAATTTCTAAAATAAGTAAAAGTAGTAAAACATACCATTTTTTTATAATAATAAAATAAATTAGCTTACGTTAAAACTATTTTTAGATAATGATATATTTAAATAATAAAACCTGGGTCTTATACAAAAATGTAATTAATTTTAACGTTTATTGACTAAGTAGTTTAGATTAATTAGAAAAATATTGTTTCTATTGTTAGTATAATAATTAATTTAAGTACACAATGTTTTTATGTTAAACACTTACACATAATCATGATCAGGTAATAATTTGTCTACTTGATAACAACGAATATGCATTTGTATATCATCACTGCTTGTATTCCAACTACCACCAACTTCTTTATATTGTAATTTAAAAAATCGAATTTGCAGTCCATCATTTGGAGGAACAAACCATCGTACCATTACTGAATTTTCTGTTAATCTGGTTACATTTGGTTGCGAAGGAGGAACCATCTCTATATAAATATAAAGCATTGACAATTTGAAATAATAAATTGTATACAAAGACTATACAATATTTTATAATTTAACATACCATTTCCCTTTTTTTTTTTATCTTTTTTTCTTCCTTTACCTTTATGGTTTCTATCTTTCCTGTCTCGTTGAGGAGACCGTGTAGTAGAATCTAATAAAAAATTTAGTGCAATTAACTGTTTTTAATAGAACAATATCTTTAAAATTTATTTGCATATTATTTAAAATAGGTAAAAACCAAAAATATTTAATGAAAAAAAAAATGTTTTCATGCATGTTTTATGTCTTCTACATAATATGCATAAACTCTTAATTATTTAATGCCAATATTATTGTACAGGCGTATAGTATACTGTTTTTAATATTTTAAAGGCGGGCTTGTCTATTTTCAAACAAATTAAACTAACAGATTATGTTTTTAATGATATAATTATTAAAATCACCTTCATAATAATGTTGTTGAGAAGTAAGTTGTGTGATTTGTTTTGGATTAACTTGAATCATAGCAGCCCAATATGAGCATCCCAAAATATTACACGCAAAACATTGAATAAATCCAGCATGATACTTTTTAGTATTGTTTAAAGTTAAAATGTTTCCTGAATAAGATAATTAAAAAAAAAAAAAATTATAATTGTTCAATTATTGTTAACAAATAGCTAACCTTTAACAAGTATATTAGTATCATTAACCGGTTTTCCATTAAGATACCAAATAATTTTAGGCATTGGTGTTCCCATAGCTTCACATTTTAATGTTTCTGAACTACCTTCATCTATTACCACAGATTCACTTGGACCATTTTTAACATAGGGCAGCTCTAAAATATAAATAAAAAACTTGATAAATTAAATATGTTTTATAAGAATTGTCAAAAAATATTTAGATACCTTGAACTTGAAGTGTTATAGAATGACTGATTTTCCCATGATTATTTTCAGCAATACAGTCATATACACCAGAATCTTCAATACTAAGATTACGTATAGTCAACAAACCCGATTCAATATTGGTTTTGTTGTCATTTATAATTATGTTCTTATGAATTCCAAGCCATTTAATT